GTTTGGGACCCTATACATAAAAACTTTTATACTAAAAGATCAAGACTGATTATACCTTTAGAGGCATTTACCTTACCTAATGTATATGTGGGAGAATAATCGTTAAGATACCAGGACATTTTGGATAAAAAAGACAATCTGAAATTACCAGAACAATTATCCTGGTGGAAAAAAGCGCAACTGGAATCGATATATTTGAAGGATAAGAAACTAGGTTTTAATAATAAAATAACTAAACTGGAAGAAACTGTTTTAACAGCAGAAAACAAAGTGTTAAAGAAAATATATAAGATTTTATTGGATGATGTGATGGCTGATGAAATGGTGAAAAAAATATGATTATGTGGGCCCAGAATATAGGCCGTAATATTAATTTTGAAGAGTGGGAGCAGATTTGGTGGAAAAATATAAAACTAACTAATGCTGTGTCATATAAAGAGAACATGTATAAGATGTTTTATAGATGGTACATTACACCAGATAGATTAGCTAAACAAAATGTTAATTGCTCTGATAAATGTTGGAAATGTAAAAATAAGACTGGTTCTTTTTATCACATGTAGTAGTTATGTGATGTTACAAAGAGGTACTGGAGATGGATTCATGAGATAATGGAAAAATAATAAGAACTAATATCCCGTTTACTCCAGAGATACTGTTATTGAATATATTTCCGAAAGACTTTGATAAAGCAGATAGGTATTTGATAGTTCATATGTCGACAGCTGCAAGGATAGTATATGCCAAATATTGGAAAATAATGGAAATACCAACAAAACAAGAGTAGGTGAACAAGCTATTTGAAACGTCAAAAAACTTGGAAGAGATTCTACAATTGGTATAATGTAAATGTAACTGATAGATAAATGTAGTAATTTGAGAACGCAGAAAAGATGAGCTTAGTAAAATAGATAATGAATTTAGAAATTTAATAAGCAGAAGAAATAATAAAGTCTCTTGTTATATGTTGTGGGGGGTAGTTGGGGGTTGTTTGTATGTATGTCTGTAGTATATAATGGAAAAAAATAATAAAAGTTTACCCTCGGGTACTTATTAAAAGCAACAATAAACTTGTTTGGCCTTTTAAAAAAGTCTTCTAAAAAGAATGGTGCATGTACCAATGATCAGTGATCCATGAAATAGGTCCTAACGAGCCCTATTGTAGGGTTTTACGCTTGGCCTCTCACGAAAGGAAGGTTTGCATACAATGGAAGCAGCTTTGTGCAAACTGATTTTAAAAATTAGTGCTTCTGCTTGCAGAAGAGAACTCTAGAAAAGGGCCCTGAGATCCAGGCCATTTTCTTTATCTGTACGAGTGAACAGTGTAGACAGAAGTGTCACAAGCTAGGTCCTCCAACCTGTTCAGAATTTTTGTTCCTCTTAAGTATCTTGCTGAGAATACATGGTAACCGACAAAGTAGGCGCCTTAAATGTAGTGGTGTTCTAAATTGTCGCGAACTTTCCAGCACTGATTTCCCGCTTCTAATCTAACGGGAAAGAAACGCAAAGTCCCGTTCCCGTCCCAACCGTGCTCTGCGAATCCAGCAACTGTTGACAGGCAAACTGCTTTGCGGTTTTTGTTTTGTTTCCTTTTCTGCTTAAAGGAATACGGGTAGGGAGGGTTTTTGGGTGTGTGTTTTTTTAATAAAAGAAGCCTAAATGCATCCAGAAGTGCAGCCTAAGTTCAGCCAAGGATCCGACTGCAAGGAGAAGTTTCCCCGGCAGCGCCGCTCGACTGAACCCGAAGGGCGGGGTGCCTCCCACCGCCTAGCACAGGCAGGCCGGGCGGACGGACGCCACCAGGCCGCTGGGGCTTCTGCTCGGGCATTCACTCCGAGAGAACTGACGTCGTTCTCCCTCGCTCTCTCCCCTGCCTCCCTCCCTCCCCCATCGGCTTCCCTGGAGCGGGAGGGCGGGCAGAAGGGAGGCAGGAGAGGCGGGCCCGGACGAGGCAGGAAAAGTTTGCAGAGTTTTCCGCTCTTTTTTGTGTGTTTTGTTTTGGAGGCGGCTCCGAGCGGTGCTGGGTGGTTGGCGACGGCAGCATGGACGCCCTCAAGTCCGCCGGGCGGGCCATCATCCGGAGTCCCAGCATAGCCAAGCAGAACTGGGGCAGCGGCAGGCACAAGAGTAAGTGGCGCGGAGGAAACGGAGGCCCCCCCTCCCCTCGTTCTCCCCCCCGCTCCCTGCAGGAAAAGCTGTGGGGCTCCTTTCCGAGCGCGCCCTCCGCTTCTTCCTGGCGGGCTGACTTTGGCGGGGGAGGGCGCTCAAGAATGCTCCCCCCCTCTCGGTTGGTGGGGTGCTTGGCTGGGGAGCGGGGAGGAAGTGCGTGCGAAGGACGGCAAAAGTTTGGGGACTTTAGGAAGGAATGCAGAAAAGGGCGATGTCAGCAAACGTCTTAAAGGAGCCGACTTCTTTTCTTCTTCATATTTGTCGAGCCCAAACGAAGACGGATGTAAAGGGCTGTCTTGGGAGTTTCTGAGTGAATCTCCGCGGGCGGGGCTTGACGTTACCTTCTGCCGAGTCAGACGCTTGCAGAGTAATCCTAAACAGGTCTACTCAAGTCTGTTCCATGGGGTGGCACCGTTAGTATGTGGCAGTCAGTCTTGACTGCACTCATCGGCAGAAGCTCTCCAGGGTCCGAGGCAAAACAACAACAACACGTTTCTTATTCTGCTTGGGATATCGGGGCAATGCAGATGTTCTACTGCCAGGGCCACTGGGGAGGGAAAGGCGGCCCTTTGGCCTGGACCTCAGACTCAGGGGAGAGGATGCTCAGAATGGGACGCTTGTTAGTTATTTTATTTTTTTTTGTCATTTGATAAGTTTTACAACTTGTTTTTTAGATTTACGTGGGGTAGCCATGTTGGTCTGAAGTAGCAGTACAAAGTTTGAGTCCAGTGGCACCTTTAAGACCAACAAAATTTTATTCAAGGTATAAGCTTTTGTGTGCATGCACACTTTCTCCGAAGACTGGTTTTCATGCCTGCCATGTTGTCAGTTCTAATTTTCTATGGCCCTCTGAAACAGGCTATCTACTGCTGAAATGCTGAACCTAAAGGTGATGGTAGTCAGTTTCTATGCAAAGTGGGGTATTCCTAGGGAAAGGGATCATTCCAGATGGGTAGCCGTGTTCCCAGGAGCAGCAAAATAAACCGAGGCGTCCCATGGCACTTTCAAGACTAGCACATTTCATTCTGGCACAAGGTCAGTTTTTTTTTTTTTTGGTTTTTTTTAGTAAAAGTGATCATGGTGGAATAGATTTGGTGGGGGAGAAGGGCTTTTCTTCTAGTAATAAGTGGTAAGCCAGGCGGATTTTTTTTTAAGGTAATGATCACAAAGATTTTGTTTGGTGGACATTCCTGTTTTGACTAGGGAGTGGGTATTGAGACAGAAGCTGAAGATGAGGAGAAATCATAAGATGTTGGGTGCTGTGGAAGTGCCCCTTTAAATCATCTTTCAGGGATACATGGTGTGCGACTGTCTCTCATTAATTAATCTATAACTTGTCCTCCAAAGAAGACCAGATCGTATCCAGAGCAATAGGAAAGAGAGTTCTGCTATGAGTCCCGTACTGCTTAATCCATCCTAAAAAAAGGATCCCACACTATACCACACGCTGCTTCTCTAGTCATTGTGGAGAAGCCCTCCTTCTCTCCTGGGGCAAGACTGTTCCACTAAAGCGGTGATGCAGCCCAGGAAGTCTGAGGAGGATCATGCTGGAGGGGGGAACCACAAGAAATAGCTAATTAGAGGAATATCACTGACACAGGGCTTCTTACAGGTGTGTTCATGCACGACTATACTTGGGGAAAAAATGTTACCTGAATTGTTTTGGATAGTTATGCAAGGGAGAGGGCGGGTATCTGCCGGAGAGTTGTCGGTTGTCTCCTGGAGTCTGCAACTTAGGTGGTTTCTAAAGTCACACATTGCTTTTTGCTCACAGGTACCAGGCATGCTCCTGCTAACTCTTTGTGATGTTGTGGTTTGTGTTACATGGGTTGCCGTAAGGGCAAAGGCCTTGAGATATGGGGGATCCAGCCTTTGATATGTGGCTATAACAGTGCGTTTTGGATTTCTGGAGAACCCTTTCTGTGGTGACTCTTCTGTAGTAGAACTCCCATTGCATGGCAGGAAATTCTCCTGCATATTCTAATCTAGAGTATATGTTGATGCAACTGGTGCAGGCCATTATATTTGAGGGTGGGGGTGGAAGAGGTATGGGGCTTCCTCCCCTTCCACCAATAGGTAATAATATCCTTCCTTCCACTGGCCAGGCCTGGTAGGGCTCATTCTTGTTCCTGTTGAAAGGAAAGTAGGTGACTTGGCTTCAGGTGTATGCAACATTTCCCAGCTGTGGCATACAGTAGGGGCACCTTCTAATGATGAGCAGTTTGGCTAGAAATGGCACACAGCCACCCTCCACCCCGCATCTTCTTAGGGCACCTTGGGATCCAGTTTCAAAACTTGGCAGGGTCAGTGGGCTTTTGGCTCACCTTTGTGATGCTGTGAACTACTGCTTCATGTACACAAACGCAAACTGTGTGATGCCATGATCAGAACTGGCCAAAACAATATGGGCCATTATATTTGAGGGTGGGGGTGGAAGAGGTATGGGGCTTCCTCCCCTTCCACCAATAGGTAATAATATCCTTCCTTCCACTGGCCAGGCCTGGTAGGGCTCATTCTTGTTCCTGTTGAAAGGAAAGTAGGTGACTTGGCTTCAGGTGTATGCAACATTTCCCAGCTGTGGCATACAGTAGGGGCACCTTCTAATGATGAGCAGTTTGGCTAGAAATGGCACACAGCCACCCCCCCACCCCCGTCTTCTTAGGGCACCTTGGGATCCAGTTTCAAAACTTGGCAGGGTCAGTGGGCTTTTGGCTCACCTTTGTGAAGCTGTGAACTACTGCTTCATGTACATAAATGCAAACTGTGTAATGCCATGATCAGAACTGGCCAAAACAA